TGAATATTTACCAAGTTTCCCTCCTATCATTTTGTTCTTTTTATATCAAGAAATATTTCCAATATAACGATCTTTAATATCTTAATTTCCAAAATGTCAAGGTTTAGTTTAAAGTACAAATTTAACCATAAATTACACAACTTAACTTAGTAGCCCAAAAAATAACAAAGGGGAAAATAGCCTAAATACGTTAGACTACCAAATTTAGCATCAATTAGCCGGTCTATTAAAGTACAAATTTAACCATAAATTACAACTAAATAATAGCCCATAAAAATAACAAAGGTGAAAATAGCCTAAATACGTTGACTACCAAATTTAGCATCAATTAGCATGGTCTAGCATGTTTTAATTAAACATTAAATCATTATAAAATGCTAAACACTCGAAACTATCTAGTCTAGCATATATATCCTATATATTAAGAATATATCATTTGTTATTTCATTAAAAATATAATTGGTAAGTGAATTTTACAAAAGATTTGTCCTTTAAATAAATCCTATACATTTTGGGGAAATGATTATTAGTTGTGTATATATGTCCAAACCCTTTTATCAACACTTGTAGGCCTCAGCTCAATTCTTCTATAACAGGCCATGTTTATGCTGAAACCATCAAAATCAAACAAATTTACACCCAGGCCTTCATTTTCTCCATGCTTTTTAAAGAATTCACCGATCTCAATCTCCATCCACCCGTCTCCTCGATTGAGAAGGTTGGGCGCACCTGCCGAGCGTCAAGAAACACCTTACTTCTTTCTTCCTCCTCATTCCTCCAACGTAGAAACATAACTCTACAGGCTGGTGTCAAATCATCTGGAGTCAGCAAACTTGAACACAAGGTAAGCTGCATAGGTGGTTTCAGGGGACAAAAGTTGGTCTTATTTTTTCCCTAACTTCGAACCAACAACAGGCTTTAATCAGCACTTCAGGAAACCTTAAATGAAAAGATACTAATTGCTATTAGAATTACGAAGAACTAATCATAGGAGGCAAAAAAGGTTATGAATTTTAAGGACAAGGGACAGAAGAACAAACTGGATTCTGGTAGAGATGGCCAGTCCAATAGGATTACTTCCCCATGTGACAGAGATCCCTGCTTTTGCCCAACCATGCAACAAACTTTCCACTCTCTTTCTCTAGTGCAACGTTATGTCAAAGAATCACACACGTTTAAGTATACATCAGAAACTAATAAAATAAAATAAATAAAAAAACCGAAAAAGAGATATGGATTGAATTCGATATTTTGAATATGGACCACTACCCAGAAATTTTAATTTTGAAGCAGGGGAAGTTGGCTCACAACATATCCTTAAATGCAGGGGAAGAATCATTTGATTCAACACTTATAAACCATTTATGAACAAACCAATCCAAATTTCAATTAACCAAAAGGGCTTATAAACGCAAGAAACAGAAATCATAGCCTTCCCTAAATGTAATCGCTTAAGTTATATAAAATGTCTTTTTGCTTACATATTGCCACTGTTGATGAAGATGGGTTTATGGGAAAGATGAAAGTAAAGTCCTCTTGGACGAGCAAGTACTCAACAGAGATGATGAGGCCGAATTGGAAATGATTCCCTCGTAATTGATGGCAGAAACGTCTCCCAGACGGCATCAGAATCAGCAGCAGATTTGAAGAAAGGTGACACTGTTGATAATCTGCATGCATTCTGGGAGATGTAAGGGATGTGATTTGGGATAAACACTCTTCAGGAAGAACAACACTCTATCCATTTGATTTTTTCTAGCTTTCCTCATTCAACTCTTGATTTTATGGTTATGTCTAGTTACGGTATGAGATGAACAAGACTTTGGTTAGTGAAGGAAGCTCCAACAAGATGGTATATATATAAGAAGCCTAATAGTTGACAATTATTGGAAATGTATAAAATAATTATCCGAAAGGTTAAAAAGATTTTATAAAATTGTTGCCCAGAAACATCCTACCGGATGCCACATAATGAGAAAGAACTATAAGCATCTTCAAACTGTATTTTAGCATTTAAAATACTTTATCATTATTAATATCATGTAAAAATCAGAATTATAGAAATGTCTTCCATAAATTTAATGGCTTAAATCTATTTTACATGTTCATGCTTTATTTCCAGAGAAGACTTAATCATAGTGTGGTCAACTAGTCAAGTCCTGACTCTTAGCTTTCAAATATTAAGAAATACCCCTCAAGTAACAGCCTCGATTAACTTAACTCTGAAACAACATTTTCTTATGCAGAGACAGAAATGCCTCTTAGGGGGCGTTGTTGACGGTAATGTCGATTGTTGGGGTAATGTCATCTTATATTACTTGATTACCACGTTGGTTGTCAAGTAATATAAGATTTCGGTAATCTTCAAATACAATGAGGGCGTTTGGTTAGGAAAGTTATATACGGGAATGTTGGATTACTGGAAAGTAGATTACCTTGAAATATTACTGGGAATCTTTAAGAAAATGTGTTTGGTTAGTTGGTGGGTATGTTATTTAAATTACTAAATGGGCCCCCTTACAAATATTAATATATATTATTTTATTATTAATTTTTGAATAATTTCTTTTAACCCCCATATTTCAGATTTAGTTTAAACACCCTGCTTATATAAAACTTAATTTATTACGAAATCACCCCCACTCCTCGCCGCGCTGTGCCACCGTAGATCACCGCCGGAAGTCTCCGAAAGTCCCTATCAACAACTCACCATGACCAAGAGGCTTCGATATGGCCGTTTCCAGCCATATTGATGGCCGAAAACGGCCATATCAGGCAGATTTGCCGGAAATGGCCAGATCTATTCTAGCCATTTCCGGCCAGATCGGTGGATCTGGCCGTTAATGGCCAGATCCTTGGCCATTATCGGCAAGATTGAGTGAGATCTGCCATTAACGGCCAGGACCTGGCCGTTAGCAGCCAAATCTATTTCGGCGAATAGATCTGGCGTTAGCAGCAAATCTATTCGGTGGAATAGACTGGCCTGTTAACGACCAGATCTCACTCAGATTTGGCCGATAATGGCCAGGATTGGCATTAACCGCAGATTTGGCCTGATATGGCCGTTTTTGGCCATCAATATGGCCGAAAAAGGCCATATCGCTGACTCTGGAGCCTCCCACTGAAACTCGTTCTTTTTTTGGGACTCCGGTTGGTTTTCGGAGGCGCCATGGTGGGTGGCTGCTGTAGGCGGTGGTGCTGGGTGGCAGTGGTGGTGGTGGTGGCTGAGTGGCAGTGGTCTGTAAATTGTTTTAAATACAAGGACATTATTGTTCAAAATTTAGTTAAATAAGGGTAAAATTGAAATAGGATATTAATGTAAATTTATTTTAAAATGAGGGCATTATTGTCCAAAATTTTATTATAATAAGGGATAAAATTGTAACAAAAAAGGAGAACCCTGGTAATCTCAAAATACTAAGAAAATAGGGTAATCAGATTACCTCCAACATTACCAATAGTGAGGTAACTTAATCTAAATTCACTTAAAAAGCAAGTAAATACATATACCCAATTTGCCCTTATGTAGATACATAAGTTAGAATTAGGGGGGATCTATCCCATTAGTTTAAACTGCAGGGTCTGACAGGTAGACCAAACACTAGGGGAGCAAAAAGATTATCTCCCAATTAATCTCCACAAGTTTGAAAGGTGAACAAAGTGACTTTGGCTTTTTGGACCATCTCACCAATAATTAAAGTTGATGGGGTTATGGCAATGTGAAAATAGCCCCACTCAATTTTTTCAGCCAAGTCAGAGAATCTCTTTGATTTTATAACAAATTAGGGTAAATTTAATTTTTGACTATTAATCCTAAAGTTTCAAAAATAGAGGATGACTATTACAATACTCTTAAAAGTTTTATAAAATTTAACAAGTATCAGCCTTCACCACTTTTTTTTTTTATTATTATATATGGGGTGTTCGAGTCAACTTACTTGCATCTCATCTAATCTTTAGAGTCATTAAACATCTTACCAGCCTAACCTTACTCCATTAAGTGTGTTATTAACTTTGACTTAAATTCCTAGTTTAATATTCAAACATTGACTATCAAAATCAGAAGGTCTAGAAGTGTTGTTGAGTTGTCGACATTAAATATTATGATTATTGGATTAAGATACATGATAGATTAAAAAGTTTGAAGTCAGAAATTTTAAATTAAAGATCACCGACTCTATATATATATATAAAAGCTTTGACAACGTCTGATTAATATAATCTAAAATTTTAAGAGATAAGACGTGTTTGTTGTCATTAAAATACATGAATATGGATATTAATTTTTATTCCTCTTTCTTTTTTCATCGTTTGAATAGATAGACCTTCTCGCTTTACATATTGCTTATTTGTAAGTAATAACTTATTTTTATTAATGTCTATTGAATAACAGGTTGTCACGCATAATGTGAATATTTGATTAAGTAATAAAACTATATTAAGATTGTGAAGAAATTCACCATAACTACCAATTTTTAGATTTATTTAACTTATAATTTGCGTACTTGATGTTCACAGCCTGAAAACTTACTAAACCGTGATAATGTGTGTCTTAAAGTTGCCGTGTCGAGTCGGTAGCTCAAAAGTCAAATTTTGCAGATGTGGAGAAATCAAAATTATCAGTGCTTTCAGTTTGTTGGGATTAGACCTCATAATCTTTTAACTCGAAATAAGCAAACGGTTGGAATAAGTATTATTTTCAACTCAGAAATCTGAAAGTGTTGAAAATTAGTAAGAATTTTGACTAAAAAATGATAAAATACTCTTAAAATATTTCTGTTGACCTCGTTTCTAGAATAGATAATTGTCTCCCACTATTTCCGTTGGTGCATGAATCATGAGGGTGTCTAAGAGCATCCTGAATTGTCAATCTTACAAAAATTCTAATAAAATACGTTGCTTCATTGACTTAACAAATTCTTGCCTACTCTTAATCTAATCCTAATCATATGATAAAATAGTTAAAGTTGTAAATTGCAATTAATATTAAGAGAAGTGAAATGGATATGAGTATTGTTTTGCCTGAAGAGTGCATTTCCCAGATCATCTCCTTACATCCAAGAGATGCATGCAAAGTTTCAGGGTGTTCCTGTGTTCAAGTCGTGGAGATGCGAGAAGTTAGCCCACTTGATTACCAGGAGATCCTTTCCAATTTGGTTTCCTCTTCGGTTATTTCACCGTCCAAGAGGGATCTTTTTTTCTACCATATCAAATGGTACTATGGTAAGTGAATGTCATTTTATTCACCTTGTAACTTATACACAGAACATTAAGCTTTTGAATTTATAGAACATCAAACGATTAGTACGTTGGGTTATAAAGCTAGAAATCAATGAAAGTGCTTTATCAATGCTGCTTTTATTATCAGCTAGAAATCAATTGAGATTGCCATCATATGGTCTTGACTTATATCTATAAAATGCTGGACAAATCGTGACTTAACTACCTTGGTATTACCTTGACTGTGTGCTATCAATTCACGAAAATCCAATTGATCTACCCATAAACAATATACTATTCATTTGTCCAAATTCGTAAAAAAATAAAATAAATTACCCTTCCCTGGATCATGTACAAAAAAGTAAATGACTTTGTAATTCTTTGACACAGCTTGCACTAGACAAGAGAGTGGAAAAAAATGTTACATGGTTGGCATTAGAGGGCTTTACATTACATGGGGAGGAAGAACTGCTGATGAGATATGGCAAAGTGACCAAAGTCTAGGTTAATTTCATTTATTGTCCATTATCGAAAATTCTCTAATCAGGACCCTAGTTAGTAAATACGGGTACGGCAAAAAAAACGGTACGGGAATTTTACGGGTAATATGGCAAATGGTGAAAAATAGTTATAAAATTGGCCATAAAATTCGGATACGGAAAAAATACGGTACGGGTATATACGGGTTTAATACGATGCATTGTCAATAATACGTTTTGAAAATACGGCAATATCAATCTTAGTTTTAACACTTTATGGACTACCTGGTTAAAATCAACATAACATTTCAAATGCAAAGTATTCAATTAACCAATAACACAAATACATAATACATAACTGATATTCAAATTATAGTCTCCAAACTCAAACACAATATTTAGCCAAGATTCAACTATAGTATCAAATTAAACACATAAGTCATAACAAAATCAAAATTCAAATCGAATAAGTGCTCCAAACAATAAAATACACAAATAATACAACAAAGATTCAAATTATAGCTTGAACAAAAACTCACAAAGTATATAAACAACAAATAAGCATAACAACTAAAAAAAGAGCATCGTCATCATTAATAATTATGAGACTAAGATTTGGAAAAATACATGACGTTAAGACACTTCACGGCTAATTTAGTGGCCCATAACGTGGCTTCTTTCTTATCTTCTCTTTTGTTCCCACTTGTGGACTTTTTCATTCTATATATAATTAAACCCATTTCTAGCTGCTTCCACCACATCGAAACAAGGGAATTGGGTTCTCTCTTTTTGCTTGATTGCTCTCATTTTCTCTCTCTCCGATGGTGCTCCTTGCAGCTACTTAAGCTAGTACTAAATATCTTGATGGTAAGTCATTAATGATTTCAGTTTCAGCTTGAATATGTAACTGAAATGTCATTATTTATGTTGCAATATTACAATATTTTGTAGGATTACTTCCAAATGGCGACTTTGAACAAGGGCCGAAGAAATCAAACCTTAACAAAACGGTGATCATAGGCAAATACTCGCTGCCCAAATGGGAAATAGAAGGCTTAGTGGAGTACATCTCAGGGGGACCTCAGCCGGGTGGGTTTTACTTTGCGGTGCCTCGTGGTGTTCATGCGGTAAGGCTAGGCAACGAAGCTTCAATTTCTCAGAGTGTGAATGTGAAGGCCGGAGTTATTTATACGCTCACATTGGAAAGAGAACAAGAGATGAAGAAAAGCTGAAAACGTGAAGATTTGAGGAAGAAGAGCTGAAGTAAGGAAGAACGAAGAAGAAGTGAAGACTGAAGAACTGAAGAACTGAAGACTGAGATCTGCTTTAATTTTTAGTTAAAAAACCCACAAAACGACGTCGTTTTGGGGGTGACCGCTTTTGTTTTTTTTTTTTTCAATAATTCGCGAATAATTCGGGAGGGCTTAAAATACGCGTATAATTCGGCAGATTTTGAAAAATACGTATACGGGCGTTTTATACGCGAATTATACGGCTGTCCGTATAATTCGCGTATAATACGCGTTTTTACTAACTAGGAATTCAGGACATCTTTATATTTGTTACGACGATTCTTGACATAATTAATATCACTACGTTTTGGACTAGAGAATTACTTTTGTCAACTATATTCCTATTTGTTATAGTTGTTTCTTATAAAGTTTGTATAACAGTTCTTACTATCAGTGTGTAAAAATTATATTTATTTTTGGCCTCTCTCTCTCTCTCTCTCTCTCTCTCTCTCTCTCTCTCTCTCTCTATATATATATATATATATATTCGGAAGTCTGTGAATCCATGTATGTGTGGTAGATAGGGATCAAAGTAAAGATAGAGACCAAAATGTTGTCACCAGAGACAAACTATGGATCTTACCTTGTGTTTAAGTTTCCAGAGTTTGGAGATGGGCTTCTAAAAGGACCTGTACAGTTAAGGTTCTTTTTTGAAGGAAGAGACATGGAAAATGTAGAATATTCATTTTTGTTAAACTTACGAGTTGTGTATGTGCACAACAGTTAAGAGTGCACACTGGCTACCAATCCTTTTATTTGGCTTGTTTTATCTGTTATGTGTGTGGACATCAGTTCTTAGTGCACACTGTTTGTCAGACTTGTGTTTTGGCTTGTTTTGTTTCGAGTGTGGGTGCACAACGGTCTATGCTTATACTCTCGCTTAAGATATTTTGCAACCTAACACAAGTTGTGTATCTGATAAAGTGAAAAAGATATTGTTTATCTTTGTTTCTTGATATTTAGGACCTTTTACATGTGTCATAATATCCTTAAGTGGTCTTGGAGAATAAAGTTATCTTTTCCGATTTGTTTTGTGGTCCAGACCAAAAAGAATGAATACTTTCCTTATTTGAACAAATATTGGTCAGCCCCTTGTTGGCTGATGTGGCACTATATTGTTGAGTAATAAATCCTATACTATATAATACTCTTTCTTGCGTAAATGAATCTAACCTTTTGATCTTTTTTTTCATTCTTACTCTAAATTTCTTAGAGTATTCTTTCTCTTAAGGTTCAAGGTTCATTTTCCATTTTGTGCCAAAACCTCACCATATCAAACATAGACTTTATGGCTCTTGGAACGTGGTTCCTTTGCTGATGCTGGTGTGTGGTGTCGGTGCTTGAAGCTTGTGGTTTACAAATTGTTCTTGGGTGTGTTCTTGACGAGAAGAAGCTCCAAGGAGTTGCTACACGTTAAGGATTCAGAGTGTGATGCTAAGTGTAAAGTTGAACAGAGAGTTCTTTTTACTGTAACTTAGATCAGTTTTGAACTATATCTTGTAATGTGTTTTTAACTTAATGGATTGCTTTGATCTGGACAAGGTCCCATAGATGTAGGCTAAAAGTGGATTTAGTCTAATCATGTATATGACTGTGCTATTTACTTTCTGCACTTGTGTTTGATGTGGCTAAAACTTGGAAATGTCTTAATCTACTTGATAAATATTCCACTGCACTTTAAAATTGGTAATCCAAAACCAAAGTGGTTTAATCAATCCCCAACAGAAAAGCATAGTATGTTCTTAGACCAATCTCAAGGCAGAGGAGATGGGTGGATGGAGATTGAAATAGATGAGTTCTTCAATCAAAATCGAGATGAGGAAAGGGTGAAATGGTGTGTATTTTATTTCTTGGAATTCAGCAATAATGGTGTCGTGATAGAAGGGATTGAGCTTAGGTTAGGCCTAAAAATGGTCACGCTGATACACACATTTTGTGCTAAACACATGTGGATTATTGCACATGAATTGTTGTAAGAAAAAAATAGTCGATATTTGTCAAACTTATATTAAAGTTGTTGCGCTTTTCTAAAGCAGCATATTTTAGTGGACTTCAATGTTTAAGTGTAGTGTTTTTTTTTTTTTGAAAAATTGATCACCAGCACAGATGTTGAAGTGCTGTGATTTTAGGCAAATTATTAAAGTTACTGATTTTGCAAAAGCAGCATATTGGACTACACCAGCAGAATCACAAAATTTGATTTCTGTATCATTTGGTTGCAATAAACTATTAAATATATGTTAGTTGCGTTTAAAAAAAAAAAAAAAATGGTCAAATTGGGTTTCTTTAGTATATATAGTAATGCAATCCGAACTATTTTAAATTTGGGTTTAAATAAATTGTCAAATCATTCGTGTATTCATATTAATAAAATATCTCTATCATTCATTGGTGTGACAAATCATATTGCATTATTTAATTTACGCAATTGAGATACCGTCTTGAAAGTGTAGTTTTATGTCATCGATAAACTCTTTTTGAGTTTATAGAATGGAATGTGAAAATGTTCCCTGTTTATTTTGAAAATTGTAATTATCCTTTCTCTATAACTATTTTTAAGTAATTTACTAGAGTTAGTTGACCCCTTAAGGTTTAATATAATACAAAATCTCCTTAAAGTTTCAAAAATAACACTAATATTTGCTACCGTTACTGAATCTTTAGAATTGCACTATTATATATATTAATGAATATTTATCAAATTTCAATATAACTCACAAATACACATTAGACATGACACAACTTAAATGCAATTTTAACGGTTTAAAATTTTAAATGCATTAATGTAACGGTTCAAAAATTATTTTTAAAAAAAAGTGGGTCAATTGCAATCTAATGGTCTAGATAAAGAGTTTTTGGGGTATGGGTTGAGTTTGACCAAAACTAACCTAACTCATTTGTAAATGGAGTTAGCGTTTGCTAACCTAATTCAACTCAAAATTATTTGACCTGTGTATAAATTGGGTTTGATTCAACACTTCCTTTTTCATTTTTTTTTTTTTTTCAATTTTGAAATGTAATTTGGTAAGTTATAATAATTTTCACAAAAGAGAAAACTTTGTATTTACATCATTTTGAACTTTCTTTCCTTACGAAATAATTTAATTTTAACTTTAAACTTTTGAAGCACACATACTCTTGGAATTACTCTTCGCTATCACTCCAGTAACGCCATTCACAATTCTTAATATTAATTTATGAAACAGTTTATCAAAGATTATAATTATTAAAGGATTCGAAATAAATCTTTATTTTGTAAACCTTATTGCACGATCATTCATTTTTTACTGTCTGATTTGTTAAAACCCTTTTCTTGAGCAGGCCGTGGATTTCAATAAACCAGTCTATGAAACTTGTTCTAAATGTATTTAGTCCTTACTTTTTGGTAGATTCAGATGAAGCAAAATGTACAGAACAAAAATGATCTGGAATTAATATAAGGTGATTACAGAATTTTTTCTTGCAAAATGAAACAAAGGTGTCTGATGCCCTTCCTAAAATGAGTTTATGTATCTCCTGTTAGTTGTCTTTGAGGATATGAAACCGATGTTTTAATAAAGATTAATATCTTTCTCGCATAATATATATATTTTTTTTTATTATTATTTTTTTTTTTTATAAAATCTATCTCTTCTTACATGAAATTTTTTAAAGATTTATTTTGAATCCTCTAATCTTATAATCTTTGATAAACTTAAAATTGTTTCATAAATTAATCTGAATGGAGCTACTATAATAGTGTTCATATGATGGGGAAGAGTAATCCCAAGAGTAGGTGTGTTTTGATTAATTTTTAACATGCCACATCATCTTTTTAAATTAATTTTAATGCCACCTCAGTTTTAAGTTAAATTTTAATGTCATATCAGTACTTATCCTTAGAGTCGGTAATAGGTCGTGTCGTACCTAAAAATTCAAGGCTCGTCATGCCGTAGGCCATGCCATGCTAAGGCCCACAGAAATTCATATCTTGTCCTGTCGTGTTGGCCCGTCAAATCTGAAGGCTCACGGCACAGCCCGCTATATAGTGTGTCGTGCCGTGGGCCTAACACACGGGCTGACTAGTGTACTTTGTGGGTTGGCCTACAATTTTTTTTAATATTTATAAATTATGGTAATTTTGATTTATAATTAATAATTATTATAAAAATATTTTATATGTTATATTTAGTGACATTTTTATTTGTATTTATTAAAAAAATATATAATCAACATGAAATATAATAATATAATGAGACATTGAAATATTAATTTAATTTCAGTACTTTTTATTACTTATAAGTTATAATTATAAATTACAAATATAAATTTAGAAATTAGGATTAAGAATTAACATTAACATTAACATTAACAATTACATCTCCATTAGAAATACAAGTATACAAATACAATACAACTATCTCAACTTTTATTCTAGTGTACAAATATTCAAAGTAAATAATTGAACAAAAAAATATCATACATCTTCATTTTCATTAATTTCTTTGAATATTTACAAACTAGAATCAAAGTTGTGATAATTGTATTGTATTTATATATTTGTATTTCCAATAGAGATGTAATTGTTAATTTTAATTCTTAATCATCATTTTTAAGTTTTTATTTGTAATTTATAATTATAAGTAATAAAAAGTGTTGAAATTCAATTAATATTTCAATGTCTTATTATTTTATTATATTTCGTAGTGATTATATATTTTTTAATTAATACAAATACAAAATGAGAGAGAAAGGAGAATGAAGATTGAAATTGGAGTGTAAAAAAATAAAAGAAATAATGTGGTATTTATAGGAAAAAGTTAAAAAATTTGAAAGAAAATGCAAAATAACTTTGACTATTTTAAAAAATAGCCATTATTAAGGGCCATTTTTTAAAAAAAAAATTTTCTTATTTTTTTCCTTTCAGGTTTTCGGAAGTTTGTGAAGCCGTGTTTGTGTGGTGGATAGGATGAATGTAAAGATAGAGACCAAAATTTTTTCACTAGACCACCTATGGAGAGCTGAAATTGTGTTTAAATTAGATGGGCTTCTAAAAGGACCTGTACGGTTCAGTTTCTTTTTTGAAGGAAGAGAAAAGGAAAGCATAGTGTGTTCTTAGACCCATCTCAAGACACAGAAGATGGGTGGATGGAGATTGAAATAAATGAATTCTTTAATGAAAATGGAGATGAGGAAAGGGTGAAATGGCGTGTTTTTTATTTCTTGGGATTCAGCGGTAATGGCGTCGTGATAGAAGGGATTGAGGTTAGGCCTAAAAGTGGTCACGCTGATACGCACATTTTGTGATAAACACGTGTAGATTGTTTTATAACCTTGGGGCCAGTTTTAAATTGTTGAAGAAAAAATACCAGCAATTTGTCTAACTTAATTAAAGTTGTTGCCCTTTTCAAAAGCAGCATATTTTAGTGGACTTAATTGTTCAAGTGCTGTGATTGATCACCAGCACAATTGTGTAAATCTGAAGAAGAAAAGCAAAAAGAGATGATTCTTTGATTGAAGTGATTTGTTGTTATTCAGATTGATTACAGTAAGAGCAGAAGTAAGCTGACTATATCCAACTACTTCTTTTACTGAAACGACAATACTTTGTCTATAACAAAGACAAGCTGGTAAACTACACTTTTGCCCTTTGACTTCTTATGGTCAACATTCCCCCTCAAGCTAAACTATGTGGCTTTAGAGTCTTTTCTGTGCAAATTTTTTTTTTTTTTTTTCAAGAAAAGTCTTAACAAACATTCTTTTCAGCAACAACTGAATTTAATACCAGCAACAACATTGTATCATTGCTTAGCAGTAACTCTGCAGCAGTATTCAATATTTTTTGTTCAGCAACTTTTTAGAAATGCCAAAATTCAACTACTTCAGCAACTGATTAATGTAATCAGTTCCTTTAAGCGCGCAACAATAGTTCCAAAAACTAATCGGTGAACTTGAAGTTAGTCGCTGCAATCAACTACAATTCGCAACTCTTCATCAATATCTTCAATCAGCAAAACTTTTAACAGAAATTGATTAATGTAACCAGCAACTTTAACAAAGAACTTATCAATTTAATTAGCATCTTCAATCAACAACTCTTCATCAACATTTTCAATCAAAAATTAAAACATTCTTCAATCAACTTCAACCAGCAACTCTTCATCAACATTTTCAATTAAAAATAAAAGCTGATCAATATAACCTGCAACTTCAATCAGCAACTCTTCATCAACATTTAAAATCAGTAAAACTAATTATATCAATATAATTTGCAACTTCAATCATCAGCTCTTCATCAACAATTTTAACCAGTAAAACTGATTACTGAAACCGATTAATGTAACCAGTGAGTATGGACAACTACTTCAAATTCTTGCTGCTAGCAACAAATAAAGCTTTTAACAAAGAACTGATCAATGTAACCAGCAACTTGTAATTAGCTGCTCTCTCAGCTGTGTCACTGAATGTGGACAATTATTGATAAAATCATTCTGTCCAGCACACCTTGTCACCTTTATGAAGCAATTAGTTCATTTCTTCTCTGCTTATGATAGTAAGTTTCTTTCTCAGCTCACTGAAATGAGTAGCAGATAATGGTTTAGTTAAGAGGTCAGCAATTTGAAGTTTGGAAGGTACATATTGATTGCAACTTTCTTGGCCAACACTTGTTGTTTGATACAGTGAGTATCAATCTCTATGTGCTTAGTTCAGGCATGGAATACTGGATTGGCTGTTAAGGCTCCTGCACTAACATTATCATACCAAATGATAGGAGTGGTGTCGAAGGTTAAGCCCAATTCCAAAAACAAACTTTGTAACCATGCAATTTTTGTAGCAATGTAAGCTAAAGCTCTATATTCAGTTTCAGTAGATGAGAAAGCAACTACCTTTTGTAAAATCTTAATAGCAATTTTATCAATTCCATCAATGGCAAAGAATCAATAATATAATCATATTTCTATGCCCTAAAATTGCATAATCTTAAATCCCAAGATCTGAAACTTTGATGCATTTTCACTATTTATAAAAAAAACAATCAAACATACCTGAATCCATGAGTAATCTATTAATGGAAATTGTAGAATAAGGCAGTGTATCTCTCTCTTTTTCCCTTTCTGTAAGTCGCTTGTTTTCTTCTGATGGAAAAGAAAATATTATGCGTATATTGGAACAGAGAGAGGACCCCTTATCAAGGACATATTCTGTCATCTTTATCATTAATGTATACCAAACAACATAATATAAAGAAACACATAACAGAATAATTTATATGAAAAGAGTTCAGAGTGTCTAAAACATGAGGAGCGTAATGTAAATCATATACAACACATCATAAATTAGTCAGAACGGGCAATAATACCCATACTCTCAACGTGCTCACTATAGGTCTTAGGTGACAGCCCTTTAGTCAGCGGATCTTCTATCATAAAATTTGTGCTGATATGCTCAATAGTCACTCTCTGTTTCTGAACTCCTTCTTTAACTGAAAAATATTTCAATTCCATATGTTTAGCACCCTTTGAATATTTGTCGTTTTTTAAAACTATTGCGGCATTATCACAATAAATTTTTAGCGGCCTGACAATACTGTCGACAATCCTAAGCCCTGAAATAAAATTCCGCAACTATAATCCTTGAACTGTGGCCTCAAAGCATGCCACAAATTCAGCCTCCATAGTGGAAGCAGCAATGACAAACTGCTTCACATTTTTCCACGAAACTACTCCTCCAGCTAACATAAATACATACCCAAATGTGGATTTCTTGGTGTCTACACAACCAGCGAAATTTGAATCTGAATATCCAATTACCTCAAGATAATCAGATATCCTATAGGTAAGCATATGATCATTTGTCCCTTGTAAATATCTCAACACTTTCTTTGCCGCTCGCCAATGATCCATTCCAGGATTACTCTGATATCTGCCCAGCATGCCGACCGCAAAACTAATGTCTGGTCTGGTACATGTCTAAGCATACATTATACTTCTGACAATAGATGCATAAGGAATATGCTCCATTTGCTTACGTTCCAATTCAATATGTGGGCATTGCTGAAGGCTCAACTTATCACCTTTCTAAATTGGAACTGGACTTATAGAGCACTTATCCCTATTGTATCTCTCCAGAACTTTGTTGATATAAGCTTTTTGAGACAATCCCAACTATCCTTGTGATCTATCACAAGCAATTTCAATTCCAATCATATAAGATGCCTCACCCATATCCTTCATCTCAAAGTTCTTGGAGAGAAACTTCTCGGTTTCATTCATCATACCAAGATTATTAGTAGCAAGCAAGATGTCATCAACATATAGAGCTAGAATTACAAATGCGCTCCCACTGACCTTAAGATATATACACCAATCAACAGTGTTTTTCTTAAATCCGAAAGTGGTAATGGCATTATTAAACTTGAAGTACCATTGCCTAGAAGCTTCGTTTCAATCCATATATTGATCTCTTTAATTTACACATCATGTGTTCCTTCCCTTCAATTGGAAAACCATTAGGCTGTTCCATGTACACTTCTTCTTCTAAATTCCCATTCAGAAAGGTAGTTTTTACATCCATTTGATGAAGCTCCAGATCATAATAGGATACCATTGCCATAATAATTCTAAATGAGTCATTTGAGGAAACCGGTGAAAAGGTCTCGTTGTAATCAACACTATCTTTCTGAGTAAAACATTTGGCAACAAGTCTGGCCTTGTAATGTTCAATATTGCCAATAGAGTCACGCTTGGTCTTAAAGACCCATTTACACCCGATTGTTCTACAACCTTCAGGCAATACTTCTAAATCCCATACTTCATTGTATTCCATTGATTTTAACTCTTCTTTTATGGCGTCTAACCACTTTGCAGAATTATCACTTTGAAGAGCTTGTGAAAACAAAATTGGATATGCTTCCATTCCCAAGTCAAATTCTGACTCTTGAAGATAAACCACATAATCATTAGCAATGGCAGACCTCATTTGTCTTTGATATCTTCTTAATGTCACTTCTTATTTTTCAATTATTACTTTATGTGGTTCATCCATTATAGGCTCATTGACTGCTACATTATTAGGAAGTGCTTGCTCAATTATTTGTTGTTCTTGATTGTTATCAGAACGTTTGACAACTACAGGAACCACAACCTTAGTAGAAATCATAGGCGTATGAACTTGTACCCTGATTTCTTGAATATCCACTTTACGTGGTTCAACACTCCCACTAGTTTCACCATTCTCAATGAACCTTGCATTTCCAGTTTCAACTATTCTTGTACTATGGTTAAGACAGTAAAAATAATACCCTTTAGATTTTTCTGGATAACCAATAAAAAATCCACTAATCGTTCTTGAGTATAGTTTCTTTTCATGTGGATTATAGATCCTGACTTCTGCTGGGCAACCCCAAACATGCAGGTGCCTCAAACTGGGTTTCTTTCCTATCCACGGTTCAAAAGGAGTTTTTGGAACTGCCTTACTAGGAACCCTGTTTAATAAATATACAATAGTCTTTAATGCATATATCCACAATGATGAGGGTAACGAGGAGTTACTCAACATACTCCTAACCATATCCATTAACATATGGTTACGCTTTTCTGCAACACCATTTTGTTGCGGTGTCCTTGGCATTGTTTATTGAGCACATATGCCTCGACTTTCTAGGAATTTAGCAAATGGACCTGCACTTTGTCCAGATTCATTGTATCAACCATAATATTCACCACCTCTATCTGATAGTACTACTTTCACCTTTCTATCTAATTACCTCTCAACTTCAGTAATGAATACCTCTATGATATTAACAGATTGAGATTTTTCATACAATAAATAGACAAATCCATAACGTGAAAATTCATCTATAAAAGTGATGAAATATCTTTCCCCACTAAAAGAAGGTACGTCGAAAGGACCACATATATCCGTCTGTGTTAGTTCAAGGAGTCATGTGCTTCTAGTGCCTGCTTTCTTAACTGTGGATGTGGTATGTTTTTCCCTTAATAATCCACACAAATGCCAAGATCAATAAAATCCAAATTAGGTAAAACTTCATTCTTTACTAATCTTTGCATTCTTTCTTTTGATATATGGCCTAAACATTTATGCCCTAAATAAGCAGATTTCTCATCCACAGAAGCACGTTTTGTTCTTATACTATGATGCGAGGTCAACAATGTCTCAGCAAATAAACTATCAAGATGTAATTTATACAATCCATCACAAAGCACACCAGAACCAATTAAACAATTATGTTTAAATAAACTGAAACATCCATTCTTGAATTTAAAAGAATATCCTTCTAAATCAAG